AATGGAAGCTACTATGCTATAATAGGTAATATCAGGGTGATATGTTTCATTCTTTTATGATGATGCTTCACACCAGCATGTTTCGTTGGATTCTCCGAGGCCATGCTGCTTTCGGGTGGAGAACAGCAGCGATTGGCCATCGCACGCGTCCTGCTGCGTGTTTCGGCGGCACTTTCAAACGGCTGGTGATGGTCTTCAGGGGCTTCTTGCAATACTGGAGTAATATAGGGATAGTGGAAGATAGAATGGAAGCTACAGGGATTATAGCGGTGATATAATCGTTATATATGGATTAGCTTGAGACATCTTGAAACTGTTCTGGCCGGATGGCTGAGAAGCCAAGAGTTTTAAGTCGCGAGTCCGACTTGGACATTCCAAGGCAAACCTGCGGCACTGTTCTTGGACGAAGCAACGAGTGCCGCGTGCCGAGGGCATCGCAAGAACCTGGGTTCCTGTTAAAGTTACCATACTAGGGGAACCACAGTCATTCTTACAATATATATTTTGTGTACATATTTATATATATATATAGAGAGAGTGTGACGCCGTGGAGGGCTGGTTTTCTCGAGTAAACATGCTTGTTGTCACATTTGTTTTTCATGATTTTGACGGTTTTCATATTTGGCAAGATATCCAGATTCTGGTTAGAATTTTCTTGTATATGGAGATTCAGGGATAAGACCTGCAGACAAAGATATCAATTCATATTCAGATGTCCAACCATTATCCGTAGCATGTATAACACCGACACGCCCGAATGAAATCTCATGTACGAACACGTATACAGGTGCCATACATATTCGTCAAAAGCCTTGCTATACCTCCTTGTATAGTTTTGTGGAACCTTCTTATAACCTCTGTCTAAAATTTCCTTTGAAACATCTTCAACATGTTAATTTTATCAAGAAAATCATATGTATCAACATACATGTTAAAGAGCCTCTATGTGGCCCTGAAAAGTTTGAGGTATATTATACATGCCATACTTAATTCCTTGCATAGACTTGTTAAGCTCTGTCTATAGTATCTTACACCCCTTGTGCCAGAATCTTGTGAAGCCTGATGCTTATTTGGAATATTCAGGGAAGCTTCCTGGCATCTTTAGAAAGATTCTTCTCATTAGACTCATGATATAACATCGGTTTCCATCCTTGAATATGTATCCATTGAGGAGCTTGTAGTCATTCTAGCACATGTATTTCACGGGTATTTCCTAACGTATTCAGAATTAGGAATTCCTTTCCCAAAATACTTAATATGTGTTCCATTGTACGACATATAACTAAATGCGTGAGCATTATAGGTACAATTATTTTACCCCTTGCAAGTATAAAAGCAGAGGCCTTCCCACAAGAATGAACATCATCAGTACGTATGAATATGTCATCATACATATACTTTGATGGCTATGCTGACCATATCTGGGAGACTTCTTGCCACTTTGCTAATAAAAATGCGGCATCTACATTAAGGACAACACAACTAATTACACTAATCATATTTTTTGTCATTATACTTATGGAGGTAAGGGGGCGGGTCAGGTAAATGATGCTCTAGTTATGGTAATCGTGTCAAGGAAACATTATACCAATGCAAATATATTGGCTTGGGGTGGCGGCCTCCTACTAATGGTTCGTGCATTCATGGAGATGGCAGGGGTCTAACACCCTAGCGAGCAGGATATTTTGAGATAACTTTGGTTGTTCGAACTGTAAAAATATTTGCTAGTCTGATCATGTTCATTTCTTGATAGAGACCTCCGTTAGTACAACCAAGACGGTTTTCCCCCGATATGAGCCATATAGGTAATAGCTCAGTTTGTATTCATAATATGAAGACAGTAAGTGGATTCAACCAGAATCCCAGCTCTTAAAATCAAATGATATGTGAATGATTTTCGGAAGCCCCTTTGAACATAGAGAAATCACCAGTATTGACAGCGTTGTTAAACGTTTTTTGCTGCTGAATTCATGTTGCCATGTCTTTACATTAAGATTCCACGGGCCCTTGTAATAATTTCATGAATTCGGACCAATATGTTTAGGGGGACAGCATCTCCCAGCGTATTCATGATTAGGGTGTCTTGCCGTAATATCTACTTTAAATTTGAGAATCAATCGTAGACCATACACCTGAAACATATGAGTGTAACATA